TGAGGACCGAAGATATCTCCCGCATTGCCTTTCAGTTGATCACCGCCATTGACTACTGTGCCAAAAACAGAATTCTTCACAGAGACTTGAAGCCCGCCAACATTATGTTTCATTCGGATTCCCCCAAGGCACAGCTACGTGTCATTGATTTTGGAGCTGGAGTGCAAGATATAGAAGAAAACAAGATGCATACCACCTTTGCAGGAAGTGAGTTCTGCAAAGAAAATGAAATTATGTATCTACTGATCATACCCATCTCATCTTTTCCCGGCTCAATCCCAATTTTCTTTTTCTTCTTACGTACAGCCCCCTTTTACAACTCCCCCGAGATTTTCCAACAAAAGTACACTCAAAAAACCGATGTCTTTAGCGTCGGCGTCACCCTCTACGTGCTGACATCGGGATATCCTGCCGACTCTTTGCAAAAAGCATTCAACTTGCTACAGAAATCCAAACGAGACCTCAAAAAGCTTCCCAACATGCCACAAAACATGCCCGAATCATTCTACGATCTACTCAATGGATTGTTGGTATACCATGCCAAGAACCGCAAGACGGCAGGAGAACTACTCAATCATCCCTTTGTCACATTCCACCAACAATTGGAACAAGAAGAAGCTGAAGAAGCTGCCGACACGATCGTCGGTGCCTTGCCCACGACGCCTGTACCCAACAAGCGTCCGTCCATGCTCAAGAGTCAATCATTTTCCGTCAATGGCGCCGTCGAACGTCATACACTCATGCTCAGTTATCAATCCTTTGAACGATCGCTCACCACATTGTTGGCCACCATGTTGTCCCAACCCGATTTGGCACGGCTCTTGGACTTGGTGCAAAAGGCTCAAGTGGCAGTATTGATTGAAGAAGAAGGAACCGAACACACCACGGGCAGTGCCAGTGAACATGCTGCGCCTCTCGAACCCGATCAGTTGGGGGTCATTTCGTTGAATCGTCTTTACGAGATTGTCAAGACCGATTTGAACAATGAAGATGTGTAAGTACAGTTGTAGTGACAACAAGTCGTCGTGACGGTGCCTATCGAATGGTACTGTTCTCGAAAGAGCATCTTCTCACTTTTTCACGGTTTGCAATCACACAGTATCAACCGGGCCAAGAGTCTTCCCAATGCTTCCAGCTACATCACATTTGCTTATCACACGGCCCTCTTGCAAGACTTTGTCAAACCAGCCTACCAAAACAACAACACGTCTACAACCAAGGAAGTGGACGTGGACGACATGGAATTTGACGGTGGAAAACTGCGTCGGCACAGCCATATGAACAACAATAAACGTCTTGCTTCTCTGGGTGGAGGCTCGAGTGGATCCACCATGTCCTCCATGAGAGACCTGTCCAAGTGGTCCGCGGATGCCAAGGGCAGTGGCTCTGTTCGTGGAGGTGGTGCCATGAGTCGCTTGGGAGCTTCCTTCCGAAAGGGACCCCGTGGTGGAGGCATGAACCGTGCACAATCCGTCATGATTGCGGGTGTCTAGCTCTGTTTGTTTGTGTGTTGCCCCCACGACAATTTTACTAATTTTTGCGCTTGGAAGTGTTTGGTTTTGTGTCCACGCTTGTTGCCCCAAGTTTGCATGGCTTGTTCTTGAAGATCAAGCCGCAAAGGCTATGGATGGATTGATTCATATTTTCATTACTACTACTTCTGTTGTTCAGCTAAAACTTTTGAACTCATAAAAGAAATACTGTTTTGCTTTTGCATGCCGTTTCTTTATACGTGTTGATCATCTAGATTTCTGTACCTGGTATCTCGCAGTGGCCTCCCAATCCAGGTAGCTTGCCTTTGTGAAAGAAACGGTAGGCACAGCCCCTACTAGGTTGTGTGGTTGTCATTTGGCTTTATGACCAGGCCGACAACATTTTGCTTTTCGGAATGAACAAGCGGAGAGGCGTTGTGGAGGTGTAGCTGGATCAAGCATCCACATAATGGGAAACTTGTCCAAAAGCAACAAATCGTTTGTTGCCCTGTCGCTGCTACCTATTTCACGGGCATTGATTGTTCTTCGTGCACTTTCGTCTCATCCACACTTGCTGTTGGTGTCCTTGTGTCTTTCGAGTTAGCGCTTCTTTCGTTGTAGGTCTTTGTCAATGGGTACGTCGGCGACAATGGTGATGCAGCGGCCGTGGCCAAGACGGTAGGGGTGCCGCCACCAAAGGGTAGGCAACTCAAGGGCCGAACGGGCAAATCGGCATCATTATTTTGAAATAATGTAGGAATTTCGTTGATTGTGGTGGCTAATCCGTCCGTGTAATCCGCCAATGCATCCAGCACTCGATACTTGCCTGGCTGATCGTCTGTTTGCTGATATTTGAGGACGAGTGGAACGCCAGTGGGTATTTTCATTGCCTCTAGCTTTTGCAAGGCGGATGGGTTCTCTTCGACCCGACAGAGTATCCCAATCAATGCCCGCAGCGAATTGGCATGTGCCACCACCAAACCAGTTCCACCAGCATGTTCGGATGACGACGAGTCCACACATAGTTGCTGCTTTCGAAGAGCAGCTTGATTTAAGAGTGGCGTCAATCGTTCGTCCAAAAAGGGTTGAATACGATCTGTGGCCACCATGGCCAAGGATTCCCCTCGCGGTACATTCTCCGGTCCATCACAAAAATGTTGGAATTTTTGTATTTCTTGGATCCGTCGCGGATCCTCGTCTTGGAGGAGTGGCGGAATGGCATACCATGCTCGTCTCCAGTCTCGTACTTGTTTTGGGTCATTTCCGTAAATACCATTTTCGACGTCTTGCTTGACAAATCCCTGCAAGGCGCCGTAATGTCGTTCATTCAACCGATAGTCCGTCACATATTGTCGTGGTTGTTCGTGGTTGGGTTTTTCGGCAAATCCCCACAAACAGTAATGAGCCGTCAATTGGGCTCGACTCAAAATGGATGTACAGCAGACATCAATGCCCAACGAGTACAAGGCCGACAATTGTTCTCCCGTGGCCTTGGCTTCCTTGATACCCTTTTGCGACAATGGGACATCACTCCAGCCGGTAAAGGTTTCCTGACAACCTGGTTCTCCGCCATTCCAAATGGAGTCTCCGTGGCGACATAGAATCAAAGTGTGAATGGGAAATTGGTTGGAAGGACTCTTGTGGGGAGGAGTTGCGTCAAGGTGGTTGTGGTGGCTCAAACCATGACAACTCCCCAGTAGCACTAGAAACAAAACAACTACCCCAAGATCCATTCGCCCGACCATAATTGAGCAGCGCCAGGAAGAAGAAGTCTTCATGGCTGTAGTGCAGTCGAAGGCACTGGTTGTCCTTGGTTGCTATGATTGTATCATTGAATGCATCGCTTCGCAGCGTACCGGTGGCAGCGAACGGGAAGACAAGAGAAAAGAAGACGTGGTCGAACACGTACCACTTTTCTCGCGGGAATGGTCTCAATCACAAGCCGGGACGGTGTGGCAGCCTCCGGTTAGTTAGATATTTCAGCTGTACAAGAAGGAGGAGAAGAAGTGCAACCGGAACAGTGAGAAACGGAAAGGCACAGAGAGGCACAGGGTTTCCGGGTATCCTGGTCAATGAAAGGCTTCCTCTCGAACTGGTGCATTGGTCAGGTTGTAAAATAAGCCATGGTTTTTTTAAAAAACCATCATCATGGCGCGCACAGTTTCCCCAAAATGATGACGTGTCGGATTTTCGACCCCTAAGTCGCCTGGTCGGAAATTTTATGCTCTATCCAGCCATGTAGTTGGTTTAACTGTCCGGTGGTTAATGATGATATCGCGAACCTATATAGCTAACGACAACAGGTGGTGCGATCAGTAAGAGTGGATCAACAGATCAAATTCGCTTAGGCGGGCTCTTGGACGATTGGCGTGTGATTTGAATATTACTTAAGTAGGTGCTTCACTTTTTCGCAAAATGGCGATAACTTGCTACCGAGTAGATAGGAAACGGCGAACACGTTCAACACGATGGGATCAGTCAACGAACGGCACAAACCAACGTTTTGGATGCAAGAGCACCATGTCGACACCACCAGCAAGTAGAGACAATGACACCGCCCCCGCTGCGCCAAGCACCACCAGGCCCAAGAGGAAGAGCCCTGTTTCTGGGATCCACTCTGGCAGGAAGAAACTGAAGAACTGCAGCAATCAAGAAGAATGGGAGAATTTCTCTAACATAGAGAGTTTCTTCTATGAACAGACTGACAGGAGCAAGACTTGTCCAAACATTGATGTACCTGGAAGGCCGCTTGCATGCACTTGCCTGTATGATGCTCGATGCAAGCTGAGTGATGAAGGAAGAGCTGTCATGGTTGAAAGCCTTTTGAATTTGCGCTCAAAGAACCAAATGAACAAAAGCTTTTGTTGACAGAGTGGTACCGGTATGCACAAGTCTTTGGACAGCACCCGGATTACCAGCGGAGGTTCTACTTACTCCCTGGTACCAGCTTTCCAGTTTGTAAGCATGGGCTTTGTACAATGCTGGGGGTTGGTTCAACCAAATGGCGAAACATCAAGGAAATAGCTGACAAGGGAAAGCCTTTGAAACATGGACTTGCTGGAAGGCGAAGCAACCGACGCAACATCTCCCATGATATGGTTCTTGATGAATTCTTCACCGGCATGGAACAGATGGGAGTCCCTTGGGCAACACGGATCATTCGCGAACTTGTCCGTGGCAGAGTGGAAACAACTCTAAGGGAAGATGATGAGGACGTCGTGGAGCTTCCTGCCTGCTACACAAGACACTTCTTGTACAAGCGACTGCTGACAGAATGCGGCTGGGAGTACCGGTACTCGCAGAAGGGTCTCATCGTTGAGAAAGAAAAGAAGAGGGAAGATGCAACAGCTGCCCCTTCTTGGACAACCTTTCGACTCTACTGGAAGAAGAATTTCCCTAAGATGATCATCCACAAGCCAAGGGAGGATGTCTGTGGTGACTGCTATGTGTTCGCGAATTCTCACAAGTACACAACCAAGTTGAAGAAGGCAAGCGATCGACTGGCGGCAAAGAAAGCAAATGAGGATTCTGATTCGTCCTCAGAGGAAGAAGATGATGATGAAAAGAAACACCTGGAAGAAGTCGTGGACTCTGCAACAGATGCAGAGTACCAGGAAATGATTGACAACGAGTTAATGATAAAGGCGGCAGCTAAACACGTGGAGATGGCACAGATCCAAAGACGCAGTTCTTTCGCGTCAAGAAAAAGGAAGCTTATGACACTTGCGACTTTCCACCAGCCAATCGAAGTCTTTGTTTTGTTGCTGATTACTCACAGAACATGTATGTTCCCAACTTTTCTTCAGAACAACCCGGCGAAACCTACTATCTGAGCCCAATGAACGTCAACGTCTTCGGCATTGTCGATTGCAGCAGAGAGAAGCCTACGTTGTCAGCACTCGCTTACGGTGAAGACCAAGCAAAGAAAGGAGGAAACGATGTAGCCAGTCTACTTATGTTCGACCTGCAGCGTCTTGGTCATCTTGATACGCAGGTTCCTTACAAGGAACTCAACATCGTGATGGATAACTGTGGAGGTCAGAACAAGAACAGGATGGTTCTGCGACTGCTTCACTATCTGGTAAAGAGAGGAGTCTGTTTGATGGCAAGAGCTTCCTTTCTTGTTAAGGGGCACACAAAGAATGACTGCGACCGCCTGTTCAATCTGTTGAAGAAAGAGTGGAGGCAATCCAACACATACACACCCAAGGATCTGGTGGAAACTGTCGGCAAGCACAGGCTGATCGATGCCATTCATGTTCAACAGGAGGTGTTCCGCGACTATGACAAGCAACAGAATCCCATTATCAACATTCCCACAGGACAGATCAAAAAGAACCATCAATTCACGGTGTACGCAAACAGAGACAATGGCAATGACATGTACTTTGCAGAGTACCACGGAGCAGAGGAGACATGTCTTAAGATGGTCAAGGACGACTACAGAGGAGAACCAATGGAATGGTGGAAAGCCTTGCCACTACCTGACGCATCAAAGCCAACCGGCATCAAAGACATCAAATGGAAAGAACTGTATGAGAAGTGGGGCAAAGTGGTACCACAAGAGAAAAAGAAAGGCTTCAAGTACTACGAAGAAGCACCGTCGGCAGAGAAGCTAGCTGCTATTAAAGCCCACACCAAGCAGGCAAGAGAGCTCCGACAGTCACGACAAGCAACCATGGTGGAGGATACCAACATGGCTGACAAGACAACAACCAGAGCACAGATCTAATGAAGAGGTAAGTCAAAATGATGTTTTTTCTTGTTGCACGATTGCGTTCCACCATGGCCGTTGTGAGCTAACAACGTTTTCGCGATTATCTCGACTTCGATACTTTGCTACTACGGGGCAGGTGTGCATCCTATGATGATGCTTCCTAAGCGCCATGGCTTAAATTTAATGGTTGGATACCGACACAGACATGATGTGGATCGGCAACTGAACGTCAAGGAGATTCGATTGAACTTCCCGAACAGTCCTAGCGTCCTCTACCTCTAGTGCCAAATAAATGAAGTAAAGGGAGAGGAAGCACCCGAAATGGAAAGGAAGAACAACCTGAAGGATACAGCACTTTCATTCATACCAGCTGCGTCGCGTCTGGCATCTGAAACTGGCGAGCAGACGCACAGCGTATCGTAAGGTCGTTGCTCCCTACTAGCTAGACTATTGGCCATCTGGCTAAAGCGGTCCACCATCTGGGTTACTCGGCATTCTGTCTGTTTGTGTTTTGGCGATAAAGTGATCCTTTGACTTATGGAAATGTCTACAGACCGTTGAAAAGATTTAAGACATTAGGAGACATTAGGAGACAAAGTGATACATTGGTAGACATTAGTATACAAAGTGATACATTGGTAGACAAAGTGAGACATTGTGAGACATTGATAGACAAAGTGAGACATTGAGACATTGTGAGACATTGATAGACAAAGTGAGACATTGTGAGACATTTTTGTACTGTTTTACAGTACCTTGTAGACATTAGTAGACAAAGTAATACATTGGTAGACATTAGTAGACAAAGTGATACATTGGTAGACAAAGTGAGACATTATGAGACATTGGTATACAAAGTGAGACATTGTGAGACATAAGCCACTTTTTCTAAGGAGCATAGAACATTTAAGCAACTCTGTAATCAGACACAACAGCTTAAATAGACAAAATGCCGAGTAACCCTGGCTAATTGCGCCTACCGGTAGCTAGGGAACGGCACGCAACAGCTGCTGCAACCACAACCAATGATTGATCATTCCAAAGATTCGAGCATTATTTGATTGATTCGATTCAAGATTCGATTGAATCATTCGAATCGATTCATCATTCTTTCTTACTGTATAACATCTCTCTCATGCGCGCACCTGCACACCCTACTGGATCCCTGTAGAAACCTCCCTGTACCTCTGCGGATTACTTTTGGGAAACTTTGCCTCCACCCTGCCTGCTTCCCCCACCACAGGGGACTCAGCTGACACCAGTCCCTAGTGGCGGGTGGGCTCCTTTGCCTGACTGCAAGAGAGCAGACCTGCCGGGAGAGAATCTGTCATCAACTACGAGACAGCAGCAACAAGATCAATATCGAGCCCCGCTCCGCAATGAAAGCGTGCGAGGTACCGGCAAAAGCCACTGCCAGTCATAGGCTGTCTCTGCTGCAGACAGACTGACAGGGAGCTACTCATACTCCAAAATAGCAGATAGAAAATAGAGATGCTGGCACACCCAGCTCACATGCGCACCGTCACTCCTGCAGGGCCACCACACACAACCGCCAACCATCCAACAGCAGTATGGATGTTACTCTCCCATTTGAATGCTGCGAATTCCTAAGTGTTAATGCTATTTTGGCCCACCATACTCTCAGGGCCAGGCAGTCT